GTCTCAAGGTGGCATGTTCACTGCTGCTCAACCCAAAACCAGCTCTGGCCTCTTCTCCCAAACGTTCCAGCCCGAGAGCAACAATTCTAACAATTTGTTCAAGAAGCCACAGTCAAGCTTCCCCCCTGCATCGACATCGGCATCAGAAACACCCAAGGCTGCACCTGAGGCTTCCAATCCCTTTGCCTCTTTGCCCAAACCTTCGACAGATCGTCCCAACTTGTTCAGCGCTTCGAAGGAACCCTCGCAACCCTCCCCTGCGCCGGCCACATCGATCTTCAATAGTACTACCTCCGAGTCGAGGGGAGAATCGCAGGCACCTGAGATGCCCAAGGTTCCCAAGGTGCACGTTCCCAAAGACTGGGCTGTTCCAGGTGCCGTTCGCGCGCAGAGCAGCGATGGCCTACTGAAGCAGATATCCGATCTGACTGCTCAACTGCAAATGTTGAACGAAAAGTACCGACAACAGCTGAGCAACCTTCCTCCCACGGCAGATTGGTCAAGCGTGTCGCTTTGGCACTACCAGCATGCGGTCGACATTAAGAAGAAGATCGACAACGTGAAGAAGCAACGTGCAGCCGGACGAGGTATCACCGGCAATGAATCAAGCTTGTCCACGAAGCGCAAGGTCAACGATGACAGCCACGAAGTCCGCGATCCATCCCCTTCCAAGCGAGCTCGTGCGACGGAAGCATCTGCTGGTCCGACTCCGCAGCTCTCGGCTTCTACACCGAAGCTCAGTGCCCCAGCCACGGCGACATCAAACATGTTTGCCAAGGCGATCGGAAACAAGCCCTCCACCCCGGCGCCAGCGTCATCGACAAGCCTGTTCGCCCCAAAGACAGCTGAAAAGTCCGCCACCGAACCCTCGCAGCCAGCTGCATCGACTCCAGGTTTCGGTTTCAAGCCCTCAGTTCCCACCACTAACGGCGCAGACACTTCGGCAGCCTCGTCTGGCTTCAAGCCAAGCTTCGGTGCTTCCTCCACCAGTACATCAGGTTCTGCTGGTTTCAAGCCGAACTTTGGCAGTGCTCCGGCAGGCGGCTTTATGGCTCAGTTCACTAAGACCGCGAAGACTTACGAGGAACTCGCCGCAGAACGCAAGAGGAAGGCTATGGACGAGGACTACGACTCAGATGATGAGACCAAGGAGGAGTGGTCTGCCAGGTACGACAAGGCGGAGGCTGAGCGTCTCGCCAAAGAGAAGGAGATTGCTGCCTCGACCAAATTTGTGATACCTGGTAGTTCTGGAAGTACTTCACCCAAGGAGAACCCGTTCACTGGACTTTTGAAGCCTAAGAGCGGAGTTTCCACTCCCAAAGCTCCCAGCCCGGCGCCGTCTACAGGCAGTCAATCGGTTTTCAACGCCTCCACGTCGCAAGCATCATCCCCCAATATCTTCGGCCACCTATCAGGTCCTTCTTCCAGCAACCAGGAAGAGTCGGATGACGACGACCAACAACAAGACAATGCTGGGTCAGCAGAGCCGCCTTCGCCTCCGAAGCGCTCCGTCGATGCATCGGAGACCGAATCCGAAGATACCCAACAGCACAATCAGCAGGAGTCAAGTTCCAAGGGCAGCTTGTTCTCAAGGATCACCAGGGATAATGATTCCGAGGCAGAGAAGGAGAACAGTGGCGCCTCTTCTCTGTTCGGACAGAGTAACGGTACTACAACTCCTTCCAACAAACCTTTCCAGTTCTTCGATTTCGGTGCTGCATCCAAGACCGCGACGCCGAAGACCGACACGTTTGCCGGCGATCAGACTTTCAAGGCGGGTACTCCGATCAAGTTTGGCGGAGCTCCTGCTACTGAGAAGAAGGACGCTGCACCCAAATTTAACTTCCAGCCTGCTACGCCTGGTGCTGGCGAGTTCTCCACAACCCCGGCGAAACCACCACCCAGCTCGATCTTCAATTTCGCCCCGTCCACAGGTGGATCTTCGCTTTTTGCTCCATCCGGCGGTAACTCTGTGACCTCGTCTGTATTCTCTTCGCGCGCAAACACGCCTCTCTCTGAAGCTGGCGATACCAGTGCCGCGTCTGCAGCAGAAGATGACGAAGAGGGCGGCAAGCAAGAACAGATTGACTTGACCAAGTTGACTGAGGATGAGCTCAACACTTACGACATTGTCTTCCACACCGAAGTCGTACTCGCCAAACACCAGGAGGGAGAGAAGGGCTGGACGAACATCGCAAAGGGCCCGCTCTGGATCCTCAAGGACAAGCAGACGGGCAAATGCTCTGTGCGAGTGCGCATCCCGAGCGGTGCCACCCCAGTCAACTACCAGATCCTACCTGCGCTGCCTGCCACCGTCACTGGCGGTAGCAAGAAGATGGTCATGGCGACCAAGCCTGCCAAGGAAGGCGGACTCCAGTCTGTTCTTTACGCAGTCAAGACGCCTGAGATCGCACAGGAACTCGCAGCGAAGTACACAGAGTGTGTACCTAAATCGCAGTAAGCGACCTTGTCCATATCGACATTCATACCCATTCTACGAACCGTGGGGTTGAGCGTCTAGCTCATCACCTGCATCCACGGATTCGATCACTTTGTTTGCATTTGTTTGTTCACTTTACCCCTGTTTCCGTTGACACCTCCATACACGTGTACCTATATATTCCCACAAGATTGGCGACATTGTTTGTTTTTCCCCCAGCGACTACCTTCTTCATTCCCCCTTTACTTCGGGCTTGTTGGAACATCATCACAGAGAGATGAGCATTGCATAATAATGGCGTTGGTGGCAAGGAGCCCCTCTTGATTTGTTTCTGTTTATGCGAAGCGACGATGGATGGAAAAATGGGGTCTTGATCTTCATGTAGTATACTATGAGCCTTCTTCCTTAATATGCATCAGCGCAGTAGTCGCGCTATCTTCCGAACACGGTTTTGAGACGTTCACCTGCATGACTACGTGTAACTGTGGTGCTTCCACTGACTGAGGGGTTAACCACTACCGTGGACTCAGATCATAGTTGCTTCGCACAGCCCCGCAAGCTGGCCCCGGGTCCTCTGCCTCCACTTCCCCTTTCGCTATTTTCTCTTCCAGGATTCTTCGTTCCTCGTTGAACCGATCTCTCTCTGCCATACGCTCGTTCTTCGTACTTGAAGGTGGTAAGACACCAGGGAGTGGATTGAACCATTGTCTAGAGAAGATATCAGCTTATTGCCACGTCATATAGCAACACTTACTCTTTCGGCGTATTCCTGCCGTCCACGCCGCGAAAGCGATCTTCAGTCGTCTGACTCCAGTCGTGTCGATCAAGGTACGCCTTCAACAGGGACGGTGACATGGGCTGTGCATCATAGACCTCTATGCCATTTGGCTCGTCATCCGGTGCTGGCACCCTACGGAGGGTCCTGCAGATGCCGTCACAGCCTATTTGGCGGAAGCACTTGAGATCTGCTGGGCGCTTCATCGTTGCGGAGAACTCGGCGAGCGCAGCTCTGGCCTTGGACGGGTCTGCAGGGCCCGCTTCGTGGACACCGATCTTCTATGGATAGGGTTAGGTTTGCCTGTGTTGAACATCTGGTTGATTGGCCTACGCTCTGTTCAGGCGATGATGAAGAACCTTGTACCTGTGGGGGTGAATGAGGTTGTGGTGCAGACATGCTGGTATGTAAGATTATCGATGCTGTTGAACGCAGAGATGAGGGGCGTTGCTGTGCATGTATGTATTATAGCCTGCGTGAACAACTATAATCAGGCTAATGCCAGTGTAATGCTGACCTTACGAAGAAGTTCTAGGCTGCGAGTTGAAGTTATTGAGGCATAGGCGCACGAACGAGGGGAATGTATTGGCTTTATGTGGGCAGTGCTTACTTTCTTGCTGAGTATGACGTATATGGCAGTACGGGTAAACTACCTTGTGCATGTTTGCATCAAGTAGCTACCTGATCGCGACGAGACAATGTCATACAAGTATTCGCAAGTTCGCTGGCATGCATACACGAAGATACACTTCCTGTACCATACTACTTGGCCTTCCTTCCTTGCTCATCTCGTCTCCTCACTCCCGCAATGAAGCTCTCAGTTGTGATATACGTCAGTGCGACTTTCCTCTTCTCAACAGCCACGCAAGAACAAGTGAGTGCATCTAGAAACACCCACTCATCATGCGTATACTCTTATACTGAAGCAAACGCTGTAGTCTCTCCGCGAAGTACTCCGATCTCTCAATACCGAAACAAACGGTATGACCATGCTAGGACAAGACGGAGTCCTTCGGAGGCTCAACCCTGCTCACGACACAGTCATGGACTACGTTCAACTCTCGCCACGGCACCTAGCCGAGTACGTCGCAAAGTACCCACCCGAGGCGCGTGAAGTGTGGGCGGGCATCGATGGACGCGCAGTTACGTCTGAAGCACAGCTGTGGGCTGTCCCGAACGACGTCATGCCCCGAGACCCAAGCGCCTTGGTTACTGTACCGCATACCAGTTCGCTGTTGAAGAAGCAGGAGAACAACTGCCGAATGTGGACTTGTACAGAGGACGATGAGTGCAAGGCTGAACACCCCGGATGCAATTCATGCGATGAATACTATGAGTGTGTTGGGGGATCAGGAAGTTGTTCCAGGCTCGTCAGGTGCGATGATACTTTGCCTCCAGCTAGCATCGAGTGAGCAGCTGAATCTGTTACTCACAACGATGGTATTACTATGTTTAAGTAGCTTTGTCTTCGTGCGGTGTTAGGAGCGTGTATAGTACCTCATACAAAAAAAATATCGAACAGCTCTAGAGCCTACATCGACGTTAGATCGGTTACTTTGCATGTTTTTATGTTGATGTAGGCTGTAACTACAAAAATGTAGGTTGCAGACCTGTTCAGTGTTTCCCCATGTTAACGTAGAAGATAATTACGAGTGTGTTGCACACGTCGATGATCTGGAAAATGCCTTTGATTCGGCCCTGCTTCGCGAAATTGGGTATATACTCGGGACCAAAACAGATTACTTACAGCCAATCTTCCCCTTCCCTCCAAAAAAACTGTTCTTATTACTCCAAAACCCTGCTCTCTCCATTCTTCATACCCTGAAAGTGCACATCTTCAAAGACATCTCCATCTTGTGCTCTCGCCTCCTTCAACGCATCTTCCACTGTCCACACCTTTCGGCGGAGGAACCAACTTATCAGGCCTCCTCCCTTTTTCACCTCGTCATGTGTTGCGACCCAGTACTTTGCTCGGAGTGTGCGTTGTGCGAGGATGCCGTTCTTCGCTCCCAGGTTGAGCTGCTGGGCAGAAGATATAGAGACATCGTGGAGGCCGTGTAGGAAAGCGAGGGTATGTAGTGGTGGGTCGGCTGTGGCGATTGGGCTGAGGGCTTCGTGGGGGATGCCGTGTGGTGTGTAGATTACACATTCCGCTTCCTCGCCGTTGATATTAGACGATAGTTCTTCCGCTCCGTCGCCATTTATACTGAGTGTAGAGAGACGCTTCTTAGGCGTCGCTGTTGACAGGAAGGGATGCGTGGCGAAGGTTATTAGGAGCGCGGAGTGGAGGTAGAGGGAGTCTCCGGACGCTGTGAGTCGCGATATGCTGAGCCATGATGGGAGCGGCGAGAGACTGTAGTCGTGCCAGTCGGAGAGGTCGGCGAAGGTAGGTGTTGTTATTACGGTGCGGAAGTGGTTCCAGGAGGATATGAGGTTGGCTGCTTGCTGTGATGCTTGTTAGCCCAGTACCCTTCGTTTTGTCGTATGAGAACATACCTCTGTCGCGAGCACAGGCACATCACGATGCACCTCTAGAAGCGTCTCTTTATGGCAATGGTCGGTGAATTCATGGCTAACAGCCACACAGTCCACATAACTCTCCTCGTCCACCTCTTCCACCTTTCTCTTTTTACTTCTTCCTCTGCCTAGTCGCAGTCCTCCAGCCATTATTTCCACCTGTCGTGCCAACTCCTCCACCTCGGCAATACTCTTCACGGCGCTCTCCGTCGCGTGGAATTGCTGACTGAACCATTTCGCGACATCGCTCTGCCCACCCACGAACCACGGATCTATCAAGACATTGTAGTATACCCGGCTCCCATGTTTGACGGCGTTTGCTGGACGCGGTATCTGAAGCAGCCAAGACGAATCGGCGTTCAGGTGGTGGAGGATGGGCCGGCGCGTTGCGAGCGCGCGAACGACGGCGTCGCGAATCTCGAGGTGGAGTTGTGAAGACGGATCATCCATGTTTCGAGTTTGTCGTGATATGTTCGCGCTGATTCTGCGGTTGCGCTAGATGGACGCGCCGGATTTGCGCACTTCAGGGCGACATCTGGCGCGTCGAAACGGTGACGATGCGACGAAAAGGCGCTAACGGAGGCTGGGGAAATCGTGGCGATGACGCACGGGCGACATGGAAGGCCCTCGTTGCCTCATTCCATCCTCACGACCTCAGCTTTGCGACATTCACACAGTCATCTCACAACTACTTTTGTATCGGTTTCAACGAATGCACTGGGTTAATTTGATATCAGAGCGACGATATGATCATATGGACCCGGCCATAGGATGGTTCCCCAATCGAATAAGTCTTCGTCGCCCATCAACTTACCACAATCTTCGCGCCATAATCCAGCACGTGAAGGCTTTGTTTCCACCAGAATTACTGTGCAAGCCGAGTTTTCTGGTTTATTTCTTGGACGTAGCACCTCACGCTCGGTATAATGAAACCACAACGCATCCTTATGGACTTACGGACTACTATTTCGATGATATGGCTAGTTCTTTTATCTGTCTACGATCGAAGACGCGAAAGGACGTCGACCTGAGTCACCGTTTATCGCATTTTGTGAGAGATTTCCTCCTGCATTTTTCATCTCTACCATCTGATGAAGCTTGTAGGCATCATCAGTGTCATTGATATTGAGTTTGCAAGAGACGAAAAGAACAGGGATGAGCCAAACAACGACTGGTCAATTATTCCAGTCTAATGCCTCAAGGCAATTATATCTCCCTTCCACCAGTCAGTTCAAACGCTTATCGCGTTCGACGGCGTCCAGTGCGCCATTACTTTACGAAGGTCTTCTACTGATAACCCTCTATCCTTCTGCCCATCTTGATCGCTGAAGGAAATGTAAATTTAAGCCGTCTCCTAGTATGTTTTTTACTAGTACACTTGTTGAGTCTGTCTAGACGTGCCGTCCAGCCGATAAACTTCAGCGAGTATTGGCTACACCCTAGCACATACAAGTCTTTGCGACAGCCGATGACAAAGAACAGTGCCCATGTAGGCCATCGCATGCAGTCATCCCGCTCCATCGACTAGCCGAACAAGTCTCTCAACATGAAAGCTTGCTTGGATGAGCAAATTTTGAGCATGTCGGTGCCAAATGTCGGTCATTCGTCTCATATCCAGAAATACGGAGTCACCCGCAGTGTCTTATCGCAGGATTCGATGGAAAGCATCATGCGTGCATTTCACGATGCATGTTCGTGGGTTGACGATGTGAAAGAAATGTTCGCGCGCACTGATACGAGATAGACTATCGATTGCGCGGGAAGACTGCCGAATGCGGCAACGTCGCTGGTAACACGAGTACGGGGTTGCATAGATTGATTGTACGTGCATAAGCGCGTTGTTGGCTCTTTTGCGCCAGCCAGTGCTAGTATCTGAGAAATATTGTGTGAGTAGTTTTGCTGACGTCATTGGGTACATGGAGGGTCGGGCTTGATGCTGGTGTTGCAAGAGCTTCAACGCCATCAGTCTATTCACGAGGAGATGTGAGCGAGCACTTTTGAAGGAGTGACAAAAGTTGGTCATAATTTCTGTCTACTACTACTAAGCTCGTGCCCGTCGTAACCATTCTATACCAGTTGTTCGTTCAATATAAACAGTTGAAGAGGAAAATCCAAACGCGTGAAACCATGATAAAGCAGAACTAAAACGCTGGAGCTATACAAGGCGAGGGAATGAAGGCTCCAAGACAGAAGAGCTACAGCAATTGTTTTGCCGTCAAAACACCTAGACCGCCCGAAATCTTTGCTTGATAAGTGAAGAGAAACTGCTCAAGCTACCCGAGTAGCTTAGTAGTGGGGGTAGGCGACGTAGCCGGTGGGCTGGGGGGTCACCTTCGAGGACGAAGGAGTGTTCACGGGGTAGTGAGCCGCCGAGCTTGAAGGGGTGGCAGCGGGGTACTCCTTAGTAGACGAGGAGGGGGTAGCAGCTGGGTACTCCTTGGTGGAAGAAGAGGGAGTGGCAACTGGGTAGCCCTTGGAGGAAGAGGGGGTGGCAGCCGGGTACTCCTTAGTGGATGACAAAGGGGTAGGGTACTCGGTGGGGTAGGCCTTGGAGGAGGAGGGAGAGTGGATCGGGTAAGGCGCGGACGAAGCACTGTAGTGGGGGATCGAGCTACCGGAGGAAGGGTAGGGAGGGTGGACCTCAGACGAAGGCTTGGGACCAACGGGGTAGGGCTTGGTGGAAGCTGAAGGCTTGGGGCCGACTGGGTAAGGCTTTCCAGAAGACGATGGCTTAGGAGCCTCTGAGTAGTGCTCCGCAGGAGTGGATGGCTTCATGCCCTCGGGGTAGGCAGAAGGGGCTGGGCCGGGAGTGTAAGCTCCACCGACAGTGACGGTCTTGGTCTCGACTACGTGCTCAGTCTTGGTGACAGTGACCTGGGCAGGGCACTGAGGAGCGGGAGGGACACCGACAGCGTAGGTTGGCTTAGGGGCCTCGGGAGTTCCAGCGGGGTGAGTCTCAGCGGGGTATGTGGGCTTGGGGGCATCGGGGGTGCCTGCTGGGTAGGTTGGCTTGGGAGCCTCAGGAGTTCCAGCGGGGTGAGTCTCGGCTGGGTGGGATGGCTTGGGAGCCTCGGGGGTACCAGCTGGGTACGTGGGCTTAGGAGCTTCAGGAGTTCCAGCAGGGTAAGTGGGCTGGTGGGCCGAAGGAGTCTCAGCAGGGTAAACGGGCATGTCAGATGTGGGCTTCGAGCCGTGGATGGTCGATGTCACAGTGACAGTGTTGTAGGTTGGGGTCAAGTAGGTTGAGTAGATGACGCTGGAGTGCTCTCCGTGGCCAACAGAGGTGCTGCATGGCACCCAAGCTGTGTGGGTGGAGGTGAGCGTGGTCGTAACGTCGCCGTGGGGGTACTCAACAGCCGATGAAGGCTTAGGAGTAGGCTTGACGTAACCAGTGCCGTAGGAAGAAGCGTGGTAGACGGGGGTGGAAGCACTGTAGGCTGGGTGAGATGCGCTGTAGACAGGCTTGGAGGCACTGTAGATGGGAGTTGAAGCGTGGTAGACCGGGGAGCTCTCGGCAGGCTTGGAAGCACTGTAGACGGGGACAGAAGCGCTGTAGACCGGAGTGGAGGCGTGGTATGCGGACGAGCTCACTGCAGGAGTCGACGCGCTGTAGACCGGGGTGGAGGCGTGGTACACCGACGAGCTCTCAGCTGGCTTGGAAGCGCTGTAAATGGGAGTAGACGCGCTGTAGACAGGGGTGGAGGCGTGGTAGACCGACGAACTCTCAGCGGGCTTGGAGGCGCTGTAGGCGGGGACAGACGCGCTGTAGACTGGAGTCGAAGCATGGTATACCGATGAGCTTGCGGCAGGAGTGGATGCCTCGTAGACCGGTGTGCTGGCTGGGTAGTGAACCTCACTGCTGGGTGTGGACGCTTCGTACGGCTTGGAAGAGGGAGTCGAGGCGTGGTAAGCACTGGGAGTGGATGCTGCTTCATACGGCTTTGAAGAAGTTGGTGCAGGCTGGTATCCAGTGGGGACAACCGCTGAGTAGCCGTATTGAGGCATGGCCAAGGCCGAGCCGACGAGGGTAGCAGCAACGTAAGAGTAACGCATCTTGATGGTATTGCTGATTTGAATCCTAGGTGATTGATCCGGAAGTTGTCGAGATGGTATTAAGTATTAGAAGACTTTTGTGAGTACACCGTAGCGAGTGTTGGTGTAGGAAAACTGTATGAAAGCGAAGGTGATGGTTGGTGGATGAGTATGATAGTTGAGATGGCACGAAAGTTATATACCGTAGTCCCCAGAGTCTATACGCTTCCATGATGGCTGACGTCGATGCCGTCTCCACTTTGTCAACACGAAGTAACATCTCGCCATGTGAAGGGCTCCGCTCTACGTACGAGCTGTCGATAGCGTGAGCAGCCCGACAGTAGCATCAGCGAAAAAAACCGCAGGGGTTGAGCGAGTAGAGGCACAGCCCTACCGCACAGTGATGCCGGCGCTGCCGGGATGAGCGACCGTTGTGGGCTATATTTGCACCACGCTTTGGCTGTTTCCGGACTAGCGCGCGGTTGTCATCCACTCACGGCACCCGGAGCGCGTATCGCATCACCCTCATCTCAGTCCAGCCCATCGTCCGTCAGACCTCAACAACAGCCGTTCGCGACCTTCGCGCATTCGGAGACACTGCCGGTGTTGCTACACTACCCACGTTCCGCTCCCAAAGATAGCCGGCCACGTTCCTGAAGATCCACCAGGGCCGTAGCCTCGGGCGACCCACGAGCCGGAGCCTGAATTTTCCAGATGTCTACTACCAGCCACCGTGGAGGCTATACCTAATCGGGTCTTTGATAACAGACCCTCGGTGATTCGGATGAGTATTGTATTATCGCCTTTCCTCATTGCGCAGTCAATACTTCCTTACTCCATCGCCAGCGACGCCACATATGCTGACTTGCAGTTACGAGATGTCGGCTTTACCCTCCAGGGTTACCTACGCGAAGAACAAGCAATCCATGGATGCGCTGATGGTCTGTGGCGTCCGACCTGGCATGAACGTTGCACCGCTGACCCAAGTCTCTATGCATATGAGCATCGTCCGTCATGCCCACTGGCGAATGCGGCAGAAAACGTTCTATGCCGCGTCCCAGGAAGCTATGTGACTGAACCTGCAGTACTCTGCGCGAGTAGAGCCGTGTGCGCACTGACACGAGATGCAAGCGTTGGGTTGGGCGAATGCCTCCCCCCTCCACCACGCTACTCGTATTTTCCAAACGACAGCCACTAGGATCACTACCTCCAGGAATATACCGGGCTATTAGGAAAGCTCGGCTATATAGCATATCAGCCACATACATCACACATCGAAGTAGTGCTGATTGTGCCCACAACTCGACTTGCCTCCGCTCTTTGTTGAATCTGGTGGAAGCTTATTCTCTCAAGCTTCTCACAGATCATAGCAAGCAGAGTACCTCAGACAACAAAACCCTGCACAGATCTGCAGACTA